CCCCAAATATCCGAATGTATAAGATCAAAAGGTGCACAGGAAACAGAAGTACTTTTATTGAAGGATAAAGCAGGTTGTTTGGCAAGTTGACAGGGTATACAATCGAAAGTATCTGGAGTTACATGACCCAATTGTCCACTAGAAACCAAAGACTTTAAGCGATTAATAGAAATATGCCCTAAGCGACAATGCCAAAGATAAAAAGGCGATAATGAGGAAGCAGATGTAGGAGCAGCGATCTGAGGAGAGTCAAGAACATGAAGGTGAATGAGCTCATAGAGACGTCCGTGCTTACGGCCGATCCCAATAGTCTGCCTCGTCTGAGGGTCCTGCACCAAATAATGAGTAGCAGAAAAGGTGACAGTTAGACCAAGTTCACATAATTGACCAATAGAGATAAGGTTTAGAGTGAGAGCAGGGATATGATAAACTTGAGGTAAAGATAAAGAAGATGTGGAAACAGTACCAATATGACAGACAGTCATGAGAGAACCATCAGCAGTTTGAATTGAGGGAATATGAGGAAATGAAGAGATGGAAGAAAATATAGTTGAACTGGAGGTCATATGATTACAACAGGCAGAGTCAAAATACCAAGAGGAGTTACCGGGAATTACAGACAAAGCAGTATGAGGAGGTGTACCAGTTGGGGGGAGAAGGTGTTTGAGCATGGCCTCGACATCCGTTGGAGAAAAGAAAGGGGTAGACGGAGCAGGAGACTCGGAGGGACCCTCAGCGGCAGCGGCAGCAGTGTGATGAGACTGATTCCCAAAATGAGACTGATTTCGGGAACGATGAAAGCTCCCCCGAGGAGAGCCACCGCGAGAAGAGTGGCTGTTGGAGGATGAGCGGGATGGATTGCGAAAATAATCCTGTTGCAGATGACCAGGACTAAGTTTGTTGCAGTATCGGCAGGTTCGGAAAGGGCAATTGACCAGGAGATGTGTGGAAGGAAGGCCCCGATTCTGACAGTAGAGGCAGGCAGTGGTCCGCTGGGTGAATGATGGCCGGTACGGAGGAGTGGCAAGAACAGAGTCCATATAATGAGTTTAGAGAGTACTAAGACGAGTCTCCTTTGATAGCAACTCAGAAATAGCTTGTTCCAGAGTGGGCAATGGATGGCGATGAAGAAGAGAGGCACGTACAGGTTCAAAGGATGAAGTGAGAGCCATGAGAAAGTGCACCAACCTTTGCTATAAAACAGCATCTTCTCGGTGAGGCCAAGTCGGTTCGGAAAGAGTAAGCTGGTCCCAAACGGAGTACATTTGAGAAAGGAAGTCATTGATGGACTGACTAGATTCTTGGCGCATCCTATGAAGTTGGCTCTGAAGTTGATATTGATGAGCAAGACCAGTGGTCTGGTATCGTTCTTTCAAAAAATCCCAGATGTCTTTTGCAGGAGTAGTGACAGAGTCAAGCTGAAAGCGACCAAACTGAAGACTGATAGACGTAACAGAAGTATTTCGAAACCAGGTAATGATTTGGTAATTCTTACTGTCCCATTCCTTAAGACGATCCTCATATGTAGGAGTAGTAGGAGAAACAGTGGTTTGAGCAGTGTCTTTCATCGGTTGGGTCATGTCCCCGGTGATAATGCGCCAGAGCTTCTTTCCTTTGAGGAAGGAAGACATGGCTTGGGCCCATAGAACATAGTTGGCACCATTCAAAATAACGGAAATGGGATGGGAGGCATCATGATGATCCATAATAATAGTTGAGTAGGGCTAAATTGATAGGAATAGACCTGTAGGAGCAAAATTAGGTAAAACAGAGTGTACCAGTGAGTCTGGAAGGCCGAAAATAGCTAGGAAAGGTGGGCTGTGCAGAGATGATGTCAGCAGGGTGGAAAATGATGTCAGCGGCGCACGTTAGCAGATAGGGTGTGCGGCGCACGGTAGTAGAGATGGCTTGCGGCGTATAGTAGCGGAACGGTGCACGCGGGTGCACAATAGCGGAACGGCGCACACGCGGCTCACGGTAGACAGATGGCGCATGCGGGTGCACGATAGCAGGCTCGGCGCACGAAAGGACAGAGTGGAAGGCGCGTGAAGGCGCGTGTGAGCGTGGCAACGGAATCACAGACGCGCCGAGCAAAGAGGCGGCGCGTGAGAGCGCGTAACTGTGTTTCTGGTGACGGGATTGGTGCCGTTGGAATCGTAAGGAGATTCCGAGCAGGTTGGTGTAGTTCCACTGTGTACGGGACTAAGCACCAAAATTGAAAAATGCCAGAATTGTAATACTGTGCTCTGATACCATGTGAGATTGTTAAGGAGAGAGAGAGAGAAAAGAGAGAGACTGTATAATCACTATCTGTTATTATGTTTGTGTGTATTTACAAGAGAATGAGTTCTCTCTCTTTATAGAGAGGAGAAGGAGACAGTTGGAATACTGGCTCACCGAAAGCATACAAATATACATTAAGATAATACAAAGGTGTCTGTCAAAGCTGAAGGTGGTAGTGGGTGAGCTCTTTACAGCTACAAAGGTGAGCTCTCTTTACAGCCTACAAAGGCACTATAGTGTATAGTATATTATATGTTAACATTCAGAAAGCATTAACAAGGTTTGTCTTGAGGGCTTTGGAGATTATTTAACTCAATGGTGTCTATTAGTCTCATGTTTAGTTTGGAGCTAATGAAACAATTGAGCACAATTGTGAATTTCGGAAACAATGATAATGTTGTGACTCTTTGTTTTGCATTTTGTTGTTTTCTTGAGCTCCTCACTCCCCAAGAAAGCAAAATCCAAAACCAAAAATAAAAAAGAAGAAAAGGAAATGCATTTATGTATATCCAAGGTTCTGGAAAGCGGTTGCGGTCGTCGTAACGGTTGCAGTGATGCGGTTGCAGTTGCAGGGTGTAAAGGCCGTAGTGTAACGGTTGCGGTAACCGGAACCGTGAATTTTTTTTTATTTTTCACACAATTTGAAAAAAACTTATCGATACACATATTTTTTTTCCATAATCATATTTATTGGGTTAAAAATAAATATTGATCAATTTTTATAAATTTTTAAGTATGATCCAATATATTTCATATTTTTAAATCACTATAAACTGAGTTTTTACATTTTATTTTAATAGTTAATGACTTTATATTATACAAAAAATCAATCACTAACTATTATATATAAGATAAACAATGACAAAAGTAAGAGAATAAATAAAAGCCTAAATATATATATATATATACATATTTTAAACAAGCCAAATAGATAATGACTACATATATTATTATTTTTATTTTCAAACAATATATAGATAGACATACACAAACAAAATGGTTTAGTGATAGCAGCTGAATAGAATAGCATAAGTCTTACAGCTTGAACAAATCAATAACATGTTTTTCATCTTCCCTCTTCTCTCTTTATCTCTGGCTCCTCCATTTTCTCTCTTTATCTTCCCTCTTCTCTCTATCCATTTTTCCCCATTTTCAGCTTTTTTTTGTGTGTTTTTTCGAAAGAAACAGTTTGGAACCGTTACGTAACGGTGCGTAATAGGCCGTTTACGGCTGTTACGGCACCGTTATGACCGCTACAGCAACCGCTACGACCGACACACCTATGAATCTCAATCACACTACAAAAACGGCTGTAACGGGTGGTGGTAACCGCCAAAATCGTTACGTAACGGTTGCGGTCGCTTTTTAAAACCTTGCTTCTGGGTCAGCAGTGTCTAGATCTGGCATCTTTGTCTCTTCTTGCTTGTAGTGATTGTTAAAATGATGATTGAGAAAGTGAAATACCTAATTTGAAGTTTGTCAATAAGCTCAATTTTGAGATCCAACACACTTGTTTAGCAACTTTTTTATTTTATTTTTTTTGCTATATATTGTCGGGTGGAAATGTGTCTGAATGAAGAATATGTAGATATGAAAAGATTGTTTTTGGATTGCATTTGTAATATTCTTAAGAGTGATTGGGGATTGACTCTTTTTTAGTGAATTTTTAATTTTTTATAATAAAAAAAGTGCAAAAAAGTAAATAATAATTTGACAATTTATAATAATTTTTTGACTAAAAATTCTAGTTCTCAAACAACGCCTTAATGTGCTTTTGGAGAAAAAATTAGCCTTCCCTCACATTATTACATTTGTATTTATTTACACTTTTAACTATCAATTTGTACAATTACTCCCTTTTAACGAGAAGTTGTTGGTTGGTCTGGAGTACCGTCACGTGCTGTTCTAATAGTATTGTGATTAATGAAGGAAGTGTGATTTACAAATTTGTATCAAGTGATTAGAGAACATGATAAATTATGATTAGGATGAGATACATGACACTTAAGGCCAACCAATAATTTTTCCCTTTTAACTATTAAAATTAATTAATTTTACCCTAAACTGTTAGCGAGGTCCGTAATTTAACAGAATATCACATCTATCAGCATCAAAAGTATTGATTCACTTGCCTCCACATTAAAGAGATAAATAAGGAGACAAATAGTTAGATGTCATGCAATAAACACAATTGATTGTTTTGAATATATTTAATAAAACACAAAATATAGTTGATTACAATTTACAACAAACTACTTTCTCTAAATACAACCAAAATAAGGAAATCATGCAAATAAATAATTTCGTTTGAAGTGAACTAATGTCAATAGTGTAAGAAAAATAATTGTTCAGGATGAAGTGAAATAAATATGATAATTTGAAAGGTCAAAATGAATTTTTTCTGAGGGTGGTCTCTAGTGACAAAGATTCACTATACAAAACAACAATAACAATAACCACCAAAATTTGTTCTCAAGAAAAAATAAAAATAAAAATAAAATAAAATAAAATAAAAACCCAAAAAGCAACAGAGTTCTTAGGGTTTCAAGTATTTGAAGTTTCATTTGTGATGTCAGTCCAGTCCCTGTTACATATGAAAAAGACTTGCTCATCAATGTCAGAACAATAATTAGCGCAACCCATTGAAATTTGAACTTAAATTTCGACATACTGTGAATAATTCAATAAAAAATATAGAATTTAAGATATTCATAATCGAACTTAAAACTTTCACTTTTCTTGGAATTGAATCTACAACTCATTTTCCGTGAACACAAGAAAACAAAAAAGGTATTATCAAGCTCTATTTAGATCTTCAATGACAAAATTGGAAGCTCATCAAGATTGGCACCCTGTAGAACTGTTTTCAAAAAACAAAAATAAGATAAAATAAAATTGAGCCACCTAACTGCTCGACTCAACAACCATTAAACAAAGTGTCCACAAACAAATAGCTGGGAGCTAATCTTCCACCATTTCTTCCTCAACTTCTTCCTCATCCTCTTCCTCTTCCTCTTGCTGCGTTTTCTTTCCACCATGATTTTCTGGAAGGAACAGAGAAATATAAGAATTGGGGGCAATAAAGGCCTAAGAGGGGAACTTAAACACATAGCAGAGTCTGAAAACTTCAGATCTAGATCTAGTTTGCACAGGAGTTTCCCGTAGTGTGCTCCTGTGTGTAAAAAGTACCATAAACATTGAGTAGAATAGTGATATCATGTGACATTATCACAAATCAAGGAGAAATTTATTATAGCGGTAGTGGAGATTACATGGTTGATGGTTGTGTTATTGGGCAAGAAGGAATATTCACCTAATTCCAGTATTTTATTGGCCAGTGACACTAGTAGGAAGCTGTCACCATTGCACCCGATATTTACTCTTTGAGAGGGTGGCTTTACATGCCAATTGAATTAAGTATGCAATCTGACTAAAATCATCAAATCACAATGAAATTTTATAGGAAAATTTATCAGCCAACAAGAGCAGGTCGTAGGTAAATGAAAAAGTTAGCAGTGAGGTTGGGGAAATGGCTAGAGGGAAACACAACAGGTTTAAGAATTAAGATGAGTTGCACATATGAGCATTTAAACAACAGGTTTGCAGAGAGAATACTACCAGCTATTACCTCTGGTAAGAACTAAAAAGTTTAAGAATTGAGATAAGTTGCACATATGGAATCAGATGATTCATCTGATTTTTATTTTTTATTTTTGGATAAGTATAATAACACAAGGCACCAAGGGGTTGCAACCCATATACAAAATCTAAATCAACTATACAACCAAAACTTTTCAGAAGTCTCTACTAAGTCCAAGAAATTGGTTCAAGAACGGGTTTATATTGAGCTGAATATAATAAGGACAAAATTTTACTTGGTCCGCACCAATAAGATCGTTACTATGGACATGAGTGGGACTGTAATTTGAGAATGATCTCATAGATTTGCATACTTAAATTTTTTCCACGGTAGAAAAAACACAAGGTAAAATGTTATATAAGATGAACATACCATATTCACTGAATATGACTCCACCAGAACACAATCCTTCCTCAATTTTGATGAGGTGAAGAGTCAACCCAGGGCCAATCTCTTGAAGCTTGACAGCACTTTTTGTAGAAGCTCGGTTAACCCTACCAAGATCACTTGCTAGACTTACAGTTGCTGCTTCATCTGCTTCGCTTTCTGATCCATAACCAGCCCTTCAGGGGAAAAGAGGAGAGCAAGAATGATCAACATCCAGACTGACATAAAATTTAAAAATTGGTTGATCAATTTGTAGCTAGACCATCCTAACTTCTGATTTCCTTGTAATCATACCTCTAATGATCACAACACACAAAAGACTAAGAAACAATTACGAGTCACATAGAAAGTTTCCTTGAACTGTTTGATATTTAATATGGATACAGATGATGTTTATTCTACCGTTATCACTTTATACATTATATTGAATTGGATAACACATTAGCTAGTGATTTAACTGAAATTGTGGCCCTTGATCAAGCTGAATGGAAAAAACAGGATTCGCATGGCAGAGTCCCAAGTAATTGGGACAAAGCTTTGTTGAGTGAATCAGATAACATACCAACAAAACTATTATAACTTGACCTTGACTGCTGATCATATGCTATGAAAACCATGATAGAAAACAGACATGAAAGACAAAAGTATATACTTAAACCCATGGTATCAGATCTATAGCAGGCTGATTAGCAAATTGTCAGTCACTTAAGTCACAGCTCACCTCAACTTTTGACTTCCCGCCAACAAAATCAAGGGGGAGAGAGAAAGAGAGTGACACACACTTGGTGACAAAATCGCTCACGTCTTGAAGACTTCCTAACTCAGGAACTTGATGGTTCTGCACAAACTTTCTTAAATCAGGAACAGGCTGTAATCTAATGGAATAATGCCGAAAGTCAATCAGCTTTGTCTCCTTGTTATAATTTAGTAACACAATTCTCTGGCACAAAGAAAGTTTGACCTGCAACACAAGCAATATAAGAGGAGAAGCAATACTACTTCCAGCTGATACAAACATCTAATTCATATTGTTCCAGCACTCACAGTGTTAACATCAATGGCTGGAAAGATGTTCTGAAACATAATGGTTGTAAGCTTCAGATGTTGCTCCCCAGTCCCAAAACCAGAAAGAACGATCTGGAAAAAGTCATTTAAAAAAATTTGTACAAGTGATCAAATAACAAGTAATAAGAAAATGTACAACTTGACACAGTTTGACACCAACTTCACATTATATATACCCCCCCTCCCCCCCAAAAAAAAAAGATGTAGGATGGAGAGAAAGAAGATTGACTGAGAAAGTTTGGAGGAAAATGTTCAAGGAAGAGACAGAGAAGGGTGTGAGAGACAAATGATGATGGAGAGAAAATAAAACATAAAAAAGAATTTAAAGTAAACGATAGTTGAGTTGAGAGGCCAGAGAACCTTAGATTTAACTATATATATTAGGTAAAATAAACATTTAATTTTCTATTTTGCATACATCTCATTCCTTTCGTGCTGATCACATTTGTTTGTTGGTGTACGTGTACCTACATACTTCTTCATTTGAAGGACATGAACCTTCTATGACTCTCAACTATGCAGAAATCTTGATTGGAAATGGATTGTGCCTAAGTAAATTTTGTTATCAAAGATTTGTAGTTAGATTCATTTGAATTTGCAATAGCTAGATAATTCAGTTTATTCAATTGTGTTGTAATAATTAGTTAATTAGTACATTCATTCGGACCCTCATGTGCGAGGGCAAATTTGTAAACATTTGTAATATTGTGTATGTCTTCCAACCCCCATTTCTTTCTCCCTTTATTTACATGCTTATCGTGGTAGCATCATTTTATCATTGCCATGCTTAAATATCTATTTTTGCATGCAACGGGTTCGGTTCATCATTCTAACATTGTTGTCATTTCCTATTTACTTAAATACGTGCGCTACCGCATGCTTTGAGTTAATTCACATGACATGTTAAAAACTGAACCTCGTAGTTGCATGTTGTATGTGTTGCATTAGTCACTTGAATATTAGAACATGTATTTTTCTAATTATTTTATTTTCTTTGGCTTGCCTTGGAGTACTAGGTGAACATTTCTCACTTTAGCATATTACATGTGTGTTTGTGTTGCCATATCAAGCATATTTACCATGACGCTAAGTGCTTGTTTGATATACCTCTTGAATGCTTGTGGATGAAGCCTATTTCGCCTAAGTTGGAATGGTTTCGATTAATGTATATATGAGCTTGCTTTTTCAAGTAGCACATATTCAAAACTCTTTTCAAACAAATATGAAATCAAAGCATTCCAAAGTGGGTGAAATAGTATATACTTGTGTGCCTCACATAGTAATGTTAGCATAATAATCGGAACAAGAGCATATAATGTACATAAAAATCACATCATGATTAGTAGAGGCCGATCTTTGATCGGGTGAGTGGGGTGCTTAATTCATGACCTTCCCCTCTCATACCCAAGTTCCCAAGCCGAGACACTTTAGTTATGACGAATAAGTGGCCTTTGGCACGAGTCATGGGTTTCCTAAATTTCCTAAAAATATTTAGGTGGCGACTCCGAACTATAGAGCTATCAAATACGAGGAGACTAAACCCCTCCGAGGAGCACGAAAAACCAGCTACACCAACATCTACTAAATTTTCGAGAAATTATTGAATTAGTAAAATTGCCTTCCCTCATGTACTGAATTTTTTTAAAACATAAAAATAGTTTACCACCTAACAAAATGTGGCAAACCATTGAATATTACATGCATTTATATTGGTGATTATTAATTCATTTGATATTATTGTCATACGAGATAAGGTTCACATGGTACCTGTGTGTTTAAAGTTATTGTCAGAGCATTGTCACGTCAACCTTTATGACATGAAAAAACATGCTTTCACTTTATAGAAGTTGTCACTTCTATAGGAAAAGAGGGTTTTAAGTAGATTTAAAGTCCACTACTCAAACTTTTTAAAAGAACTAAGCATTTACCGGCATCTACTAAATTTTAGAGAAATGATTGAATTGATAAAATGGCATTTCCTCACGCAATGAATTTTTTAAAATTCATTATAGGTTACCACCTAACAAAATGTGGCAAAGCATTGAATATTACATGCATTTAAGTTGGTGATAGTTAATTCATTTCACAATATTTGCATTATTGTACCATTACATCAAGTAAGGAGAGAAAGACAGTTAAACTGGTGTCGATATAGGTTAGGAACAATCGACCATCAACTCACCAAAGTGTTCACAATCCAGTACACAAACGTTTCTGAACAACTAAGTAGTAAACGTCAGTTGAAACAAACATAAAATGAAATAAGAAGTTGAAGAGATTTGCCACATTTGCCCATATCCATGTCATCATTAATCGACATAAAAACACCTTACGCGAAGTAATAAATACATTATCATATTACTGAATACTGATTCATTGAATATTGCATTAACTCAAATTCAAAGAATGAATAAAGTAGTGTGAGACTAATATGTAAACCAGAAAAAAACTATTGTCGAACCGATCGGATTCTCGCCGAACATTTTCTCTTATCATGCCCTCTCTACAAACACAAACTGTAATGTTGTATTCCACTTTGTCTATAGGTATCCATTTTGTTGTGGATGCGGCTATGTTTAGGACGATCTGTTTTAACTTGACATTGTCGATCTGGAATAGCGAGCAAAGTTGGGTACTCATCGTTAGGCCAATATTGCTCGTGCGACATGGGCCTAAACTTATGTGCAAAGATATGCTTGTGGACTTCCAACCTATACTCTAGTGCAACTAAAGGGAAAGGGTCCTTGCCCAAGTCTGCTATCACAGCAAGCATGT